AGAATAATACCCCAAATAAATAGACTATGACAATCAAATGTGCTGAACTACTGCTACAAAGAATGGCTGTTAGAGTTGAAACCAAGTGCCTTCTAAGAGGGAGGGAGGGTGGCCAAGAGCCAGGCTGTGCTGCCCAGCAAGGCAGGCAGTGGCACTGGGGGGGGAAAGAGGGAGAAGCAGAGCCCTCAACGTTCTCCTCACCCCCACACCAGAGCCGCCCTTCCCAGCGCTGCCACCCACATGAGAGAGGGCACAGAGTTCCCGGCCTGAGCCAACCCAGCCCATGCACATGCACAGCTAGAGGGACACAGCTAGGCAGCAGCTCCCTGCCGGGCAGGGCACCAGGAGCCAGGGGGACCAAGACAGAGCTAGAGGTGGCTGCCTCATTGTGATGGAAAGTGGAGGAGGGGGGGTGCACATGCATCTCTGTTCATGGCAGGGAGAGTGCATTTCTGTCTCTGTACACATGCAGAGTAAGTAAAGTGCATGCCCATCTGCATGTGTATGCATGTATGCGTGTGTGCTCATGGCAGAAGAGAGAGTGTATGCGTCTCTGTGTGTCCATGTGCAGAGAGTGAGTGAATAGCGTGCACGCCCATCTGCATGTGTGCATTCATGCGTCTGTGTTCACAGCAGAGAAAGTATGTTCGTGTCTGTGTCCATGTGCAGAGAATGAGTGAGTAGAGTGCATGCCCACCTGCGTGCGTGCATGCGTGCGTGCGTGCGTACATGCATGCACATGGGTCTGTGTTCCTGGCAAGGAGAGCATGTTTGTGTCTGTGTGTCCATGTGTAGAGAGTGAGTAAAAATAGTGTGCACTAGTCTGTGCATGCATGCGTGCATGTTTCGCCATAGCGGAAGGGATGGGGAGGCAGGGAGCAGGGAGAAGAGTCAGCATGTGCCCCCTCATCCTCTGCCCCCCTACCCACAGCCTAGCCTATAGAGGGAGGGGACCTTCAATTTTGTGTTTGGCCAGGGCCCCAGTACACATTAATCCTCCTCTGGCCATGGAGCCAGATGCGGAGTGGCAGGGTGTGGGGGCAGCACGTGGGGCCTCATCCCCACCCTCCGTTCCCCCCGCATCATTCTTGATGGGCAATTGGCTAGATGTTTCATTTTAAATCATGGATGAATGCAGATTTGGGGGTGGTAAATCAGAGAATTGGAGATTTTTAAATAAAGAAAGCCAGGATCCCCCAGTATAGCCTTTTTAAGCACCCCACTCCTTTTGGCCAATTACTGTAGCCACCCTGGTATTAAGAAAATAATTGCTACAACAAAATAACTATTGATATAAAAAATAATTAAGTTAATAGGATGCCAGAGGAATTCTATTAAATAAGTTTCACCACAGACGTTCAGGCCAATACACATAAGATAAAATAAAACTTTAAAATAAAACTGACCCCGAGCAGAAAACATAAGCACAGATTTAAAAAAAATACATATATATAGTTTTTACCAACATGTGATGAAAAGAAACATCTCTCTCATAACTTTTCAATAAGACACACAATACATAAAATTTGCAAGTATTTAGGCTAATGTGTATCAGAGCAAACAAGTCCTCAAGGTTACCTGAAATATGAGAACTAAGAGTATGGCCCTCCTGCCGGGGTCTGGATTTTGCAGTTGTGTAACCAGAAGAATCTCCAAATGCAGAAAGTGCTCCTGTACTTTCTTTGAATTCCAGAGCAACAGGGTCTGGAAGATTGGCTGCTACATATACTTGTTTATTACGTACCAAAGGACTTAAAATTCTTCCATCTCCTGGAGGAAAAAAACAACATAAATCTGCAACTGACTGCATAAAATCAACTGTATAAGGCACAAAGAAATTTCTTGTACACAGAACATTCATACTGAAGAGCTGTTTAGGGACGGTGGGGGTTGTTTGTTTGTTTTGAGTCTGTTCCACCATATATTTTTTAATCTTCTTATAACCCACAGTAAAAGTTACAAAGTGTTCAAGAAACTGCTATTCAACTAATTCAATTGCTGAAGAACTGCAATAAATTAAGGAGGAAAAAAAAATCTTAATATCTGGAAGGGCTTAAAACTAGCCTTCTTCTATGAATGCTGGATGTACCACTTCTAAAGTCTCTATCAATGCATAACTACAGCACAGATAGTGACAAATTATTTCCAACAAATTCTAAATAATTACTTCTAATTTACATCTATAATTAACACAGTTTAGCTAAAGAAGAAAAGACAGATTGATTTTAGGTCTTCCAACATTACCTTGTCTTCCTGCATAGTTTTTTTCCAAATCATGTTGCAAGAGCCTACTGTGGAAAGACGACTGCTCTTTATTTATTCTGAGTTCAAACTGTAATACAATATTTAAAATGAGATATACATGAAACATTCTACTTAATACAAATAATGTACTGTCTTTAAATATTAATTGGTTATAGCTATAGATTTTCGTTAAGATAGCTATCTGTGTGTTCCGGAAAATTATGAATAGTAGAGTTACTCTACTCAATAATATAAATACCTAACTTTCACCATTTGCTTTAAAGAAGAATATACATCATCACTTTCTAAAATTAAACATATTCTAAATATCTAAAATAGATTAGGTCTCATTCATTCAAAAATGACTTCATCATCAACAAAAAGTGGGCAGAAAGTACAAATAATATTGCAGTTAGGGCAAAATGTTCAAAGCTGCCCAAAAAATCCGAACACTAAAATCCCGTCAAAATTACCAGCAGCTGGATGTCCAAATCTTTCCTGTAGCTTTGAAAAAAATCTCAGCCTAAATTTTGATATGTAAAACAGATATCCATTAGAAAAAAGTTACCATACCTAACATCTTTACTTAGAAAATGTAAATTTATGATTCAATAGGTGGTACTATACAGCTGTATGAGGTACAGAGTCCAGGAAAAACAGAAGCAAAGCACAGCAAAGTGCTGAAGCTTGTTTTGGACTTACAATAAAACAAGTTCGCTGCAGTGCTTCTGTTTTATAAAACACCTTCCCCCAGTGGTGAAAAACTCATACTACCAACCAAACAAAACATTAACAGGTCACAGTAGTAAATATTAAAAAAAAATCTATTTTAACTACAAGGGTATGGTGTCTATTATCTACAACAGCTTGATTATCCAATGTAGTCCAGTTTCAATACTGAGTGATATCATAGTCAAATCTCACTGGTTTGTTTCTTTCTGCCACTGAGGAGGTCTGAATAACCAGCTGAAGCCCGCAACTGTTAACCTGCAAATTGAAAAAGGAGAAGAGACAGCCTCAAAAATCTGCACAAGGTTAGACACGCTGCTGTTATTCACGAGCAAAGTTCTCCAACTCCAGTCATTTATCTGGCAGAGCAGCAATGCCCAACCTTTCCCCACTGTGAGCAGATCCAGTCCTTGGGGCACTAAAACAGGACCCGATCCAGCAGCGTGGGGGAGAGGAAGAGGGGGAATGGGGCAGAGGCCCAGCCTGGCATTGGAAGGAGTCATGGCCTGCCCTCAATCCCGCCCCCCATGGCAGGTGGGGAGAGGGGGCAAGACCCAACCTGGGCCGGCTCTGGCTGTGCAGCACTTGGGAATCGGCTCCCACACCAGCCAGCTCCCCGACCCGTGGGGAGCCCAGTGGGCTGCATGCCATTGCTTGGTGGGCCGAGGTCCCACAACCCTGCGCTGGGACCAGACTGGCAAGCGCGGCAGGACCACGAGCGGGCAGGACGGGCGGAGCGGTGCCCAGAAGCCCGTCTACGTCCCCCAACTGCACCGTGGGTGCGAGGCGGACATGACACGCATGAAACCCTCGCGCCTCTGGCCTGGGCCCATCCTGGCCCGCAGCACGCGGGCACCTGCTCTGAGCTGTGCCCAGGGCTCCTGGCTGGCTGGCTGGCTGGCTGCCTCCCGCCCGCCCGGCCCCGGCCCCGCAGCGCTGCCCGAGCCCGGCACACCCCCTCCCCGGCACCTACGGGGCTGGCACCGGCCCTGCTGCCCCGGCCGGGCCGGCATTTGCTGGGCACCATGGAGCCCGCTCAGCCGGGCACCGCCCCGCGCCGCCGGAAATGGCTCCGCGGTTGCCTGGCAACCACCGCTTCCGGTCAGCATCTCCCCGTCCCCGGGGGGCGCCTCGCCCGGGAGAGGGGGTGGCCTGGCGGGGCGCTCCGTGGAGCCGGAGGGAAGTGGGCGAGGCGAGAGGCGGCTTTCAATGGGTCGCAGCAACAGCCTATAACCAGAAGCTGCCCCCGCCCCCAGGTCTCGTAACTCGGCATAGCCCGACTGACTGCCTCTCCTAAGGAAAACTAGCGGACGGGGGCGGGGGGCAATTGTTCCTGGGTTTTAATTGTTGTAGTAGGACGATTCCTAGAGGCCTCGCGCCACTCGAGACCGCTGGGCGGTTTGCAGCAGCCAGCGGCAAACTGGATCGTGAAAAAGCCCGAATCAATAAGCCCAAAGGCACTACACTATTTTACCTCAGGTTGGAAAGTGACAAATCAGTGAAGTTTTCCTTTTGTTCGTATCTAGTCAGGTTCTCCTTGATGGCCTGTTTGAGCTGTACGCACAAGGAGATACTCGCTTAAGTCTTAAAAACAACTCTGGCTTTCAAAGCAGCATACCTTAGCACTTTGATTTTTATAAAAACACATTCACTAAATCTGTCCTTTGGCTCAAATTTAAGTCATCCGTTCAGAGAATAGATTATTTTCTTATCATTCTATTAGTAAGTTGGTGTAGGACTGCTATTAAGTTGGAAGCTTTGGCATATAAAACCATATATGCACTTCTGTAATTTATTCATTTCAGAATTGTTTTTATTTATTTATTTATCTGAGGCCAAATTAGCCAAAACTAATTCCAAATTCAAGAGCCCAGAACTGTAAGTGGCCCTACTATCTTCTACCTGCACCTGGGGCTTCAGATGTTTCCAAAACCTTTGATCAGCATCCTACTTACAGTCCCAAATCCAGAGGCTTAGGGTTCAGATGCATTTCAGATCATGCGTGAGTTTGAAACACAAGTATGGTTAGATGCTGACCAGTCTAATGAGCTTGTGCCTGCATCTGCTTACAACCAAAAAACTTCAGTATATTATCACCAACTGATACTAAAGGAGCACAAAACCTCCTAGAAAAGTCTACCCCCCAGAAGTCTAGGTGGGTCTGTTTATTGTTCCTCACATTTCTATTGAACAATATAAATATCTTGCAGTTATACTAATATGTAACCAACTTGCTCTACATTTGCTTCCTACCCCTTGCTTCCCGTCAGGAATTATGCAAAGGTGACAGTGTGCAATTAAGAACTCCGTGATGTAGGCACTCAAATGGATATACTGAAAGTCCATCCTAAAATGATGTAATAGTCTGCAGGGCTATTTTTAAAATACTTGCACTCTCTTTTAATCTCATCATTCTGTTTTGATGTAGATGTTTCAACCCAGTACTTCTTTAGGGCTATGCAGCAAATGCAGGTGAAGGACCACCTGCTAACATAGGATGCTTCTCTAAAAGCACATACAAAAGCAATTTTGACTCCTTTGCCAAGTTGAAAATGCATTATCCCCTCAAGCAATAGCAAAAAAATCATTTATTTGGAATAGAGTGTAGTCCTACAATCTATTTGGCATGCAGAATTCAAAGCAGAGTTGCCAGCTGTGTTAAAGCCAACTCAAACTATCCTGGTTTAAAATCACCAGGTCTTCAGCCAAGAAACATTCAGAGTAGAATAGTTACAATTAAAGTCTGCCAGTTTAAATGGCCATTGTGACACAGAAATATATAATTATGATCAAGATAAAGCTAGATACTAGTTCTGCCAGTTGAAGTCCCACTGACTGCAGTGGCTTCTGAGTTATAATCTATTACAGGGATATGTTACGCCACACCTCTGTCGGATGGCATGGGCTCCTGCAGAGGAGTACTTTCACTGTGGCATGCTGCAACGGGGTGGCAGAAAAAAGCAGCAGCTAGATCTTAGTGCCCATTTGGTTCCAACCCAAGCTGGATCATTCTGGGTCCCTCCACCCCATCCTGAAAATATTGCCAACCCACTGTGCCCTTAATGGTACAGTGTATCTGCCTTGGAGGGGTGATGCTTTTCATTAAAAATCTGACACCCCTTCTCTATGAATCTCACTATAATTATTAATTATTCCAACTAAACATGAAAATTAGAGCTTAGCTTCATTACAGTATGCTTTGACCAATGTAGCAGACCTTTTTCATTAGAAAATAATTTCTAGAACTTTTTAAAAACTATTTTATGGAAATTTTGCTGCTGCACTTGAATTTGCTTTCCCATTTTCCTTCATTTTTCTTTAGTCTTCCTTTTTTGTATCAGATACCATCTCTGATGACAATGTAACTTACCATGATGAAAACTACAAGTTTGGTTTCTTTCCATTATCCAGAAAACTTCCACGATGTTACTGCAAGCTAGCTTTAAGTTTCTGAATGAGTTTCTGAAAAATATCAGTCTACTAACATTATACACTGACTAAATTTAAAGCAAACAAGGTTCAACGTTTCACCTGACATTTATGCTGATAAAATTGTCCTTAATGCTAATGTAAGAAAAGAGCAAGCATACAACATACCATCAATGCTGCTTGAATTTACTTGAAACTGGCATAGCATTTTTCTAAAATAATCAGGAATACAAGTTTCCCTCGCTTTATGCAGTATGTGCGTTCCTGGAAAACAGTGTATAACTTGCATTCGCATAAAGGGAACCCACTTTACAATGTAACAAATAGGGATATATTCCAAGACCTTGACTGTACTGACTCCCAGACCCATTTCTACCACTTTTACATGACAATTTAGGTACTCACCAGCAGCAGACAGTTGGAGATAAGCTAGCAGAATGCTTAGAAGCCATAATGGGGATGACAACAACAGAAACCTGTGTCACAGACAACAAGCGAGGAGCACAGATCCACACAGGAGATTATACTTTGTTGCACATCACTCCCACAATGCACTGCACAAAGCAGCTGACTGCAGGCTTCCACCACACTGATCACGTAAGAGTGAATTTACCTCGCATATAACGAATTTTTGGTATAAAAATGGTCATCACATAAGAGCGAATTCGCACATACAGAACCCACGGAAAGCTTGGGAAACCTGTAGAAGACAAAAGTGTTACCTGACTGTGCTTAGAGCCTGGTGTGATATGTCCGCCAACACCTTTTGTTTCTAATTAGCTAATCAAGCAATACAAAGAAGTGTGCTATCCTGCCTGCCTTCTGCATTATTTCAGACTAACACAGCTACCTATCTGTCTCATGACCTGACATATGACTAAGGTCTTCGTAGGTCCATTTCTTCAAATGTATGCTGCAGCCAACCCTACAAAGGAAGCTGCCATAGATACACCAATGGATGTGGAAAGTATGACACCATCTTCATAATATGAAATAGCAGTGAAACCGCTACAATAGACAAGGCTTTTGTTGTCAGAAGAGTAAGATTGTGGAGCTATGTTATTTGGGGAGGTGGCATAGCTAGGCGGATAGAAAAAATCCTTCTGCAGCGTACACTGCCTGTCCACTAGGAGGCTCTCCTGTCATTGTTAGACCTTTAGAGGCTATTCCCGCGTGGCTAAACCTTAAAAGCTGCATGTTACTAAGCAATCAAAAAACAGATCAGTATTTCCTTGTCTTTCCTCAAAATTGTTGTAAAGGTTTGGTGTAAAATTATAATCAGGCATCACCACTGAAACTGCTCTATAGTGAAGAAATCAGAAGGATTTATTTTATTTTATTAAAAAATAATTTTTAAATTTGAAGTTAACAGAATGCCTACACAAATGGTCTGATCTGGCATACATGTATTTAATATAAGGGGCAACCTATGGTTAAAATATCACTTCATTACAGGTATAGGCACGTGAAGGCAAATGAGGGTGGAGGTTTACCGTGCATGAAGTACTGCACAATAACTCCAGGAAGAGCACACATGGTCTATTCATTCCATCCAAGAAGAGCACACACCAACTGCAAATGCTTCCTCAGCCTGATGAAGGGTTTTGAAACCCAAAAGCTTGCTAAGAAATTTTTTTTTCCGACTATTTAAGTTTGTCTAATAAAAGATATCAGATTCACCCAAAGCACGACTCCTTAATTTTCACATTTCTCCCAATGTATGATAAATTATCAGATTTAATATCTGCATAAGCTCTTTCTTTACAAGTATGGTCTCTGATTTTCTTATAAAAACTCTTAAGTAAGTGCCTCTTGTAGAGTTTTATTGGCATGTAAGAAGGTATTAAAACAGAAAATAAAAAACAAAAGCAGAAAGAAACTCCAAACATAAGCAGGATGAATATGAGTCGCCAATGCGATGAAGCAATAGGCAGAGCCAACCGCACCCTGTGATGCATCAACAGGGGCATCACTAACAGGTCCAGAGAGGTCTTGCTCCCCCTCTATGTGGCACTGGTCAGGCCACAGCTGGAGTGCTGTGTCCAGTTCAACTTCAAGAAGGACGTGGAGAACCTGGAGAGGGTCCAGAGGAGGCCACTTGTATGGTTGAGGGCCTCCATGGCCAGCCCTATGAGGAGAG